TTCTCCTGAGGCCTCTCTCCTTGGCTTGCAGACGGCCTCCTTCTCACCGCATCCTTACAAGGTTGCCACTCTGCCTGTGTCGTCTGTGTACTAATCTCTTCCAGTAAGGACACCAGTCGCTTAGGACTGGGGCCCACCCATGAGATTTCCTTTTACCTTAATTATCTCTTTTTTTTCTTTCTTTTTTAACATTTATTTATTTTTGGAACAGAGAGAGACAGAGCATGAACGGGGGAGGGGCAGAGAGAGAGGGAGACACAGAATCGGAAACGGGCTCCAGGCTCCGAGCCATCAGCCCAGAGCCCGACGCGGGGCTCGAACTCACGGACCGCGAGATCGTGACCTGAGCTGAAGTCGGACGCTCAACTGACTGAGCCACCCAGGCGCCCCGTAATTATCTCTTTAAAAGACTTATCTCTAAAACACAGTCACATTCTGGGTCTCCTGGGTGGCTCAGTCGGTTAAGCATCCGACTCTCAATTTTGGTTCAGGTCATGATCTCACAGTTTGTGGGATTAAGTCTTACATCAGACTCTGTGCTGACAAAGTAGAGACTGCTTGGGATTCTCTCTCTCTCCCTCTCTCTCTCTCTCTCTCTGCCTTTCCCCCACTCATGCTTGCTTGCTCTCTCTCAAAATAAATAAATAAACATTAAATACATACATACAGTCACATTCTGACATACTGGGGGTAGGACTTCAATATACGAATTTGAGGAGGTGAAGGCAATTCAGTACCTAACAGCGAGTGAATGAATGAATGAATGAATGAACGAACCAGTCCTCTGCTTGATTTCTGAACAGGAGAGTGAGGACGGTCAGAGAAACACGAAGACTGAAGGAACAGAGGACAAAGGACAAGCAGCCACATTAGGAGAAAAGCCAGGACTTGACGTGTGTTAGTTTTTTTTTTTAAGTTTATTGATTTATTTTGAGAGAGACAGGGAGAGTGAGCAGGGGAGGAGCAGAGACAGAGAGGGAGAGAGAGAATCCCAAGCAGGCTCCACACTGTCAGCGGGAGCCACATGAGGCGTTCCATCCCACGGGCGGTGAGATCATGACCTGAGCCGAAACCTAAAGTCGAACACTTAACTGACTGAGCCACCCAGGTGCCCCCTGTGTGTTGGTTTTTCAAATCCCTCTTGGCCAATTCAAAATGTGTTTTTTATCTGGCTCTCTTAACTACTTCTGGAAACAATTCTATTAACTGCTGGCCTGCAGCAGCATGTGCTAGAGGAAAGCCCTGAACATGGACTCAGAAGAGCTGGGTTCTATTAGCCTCTCTGCTGGTTGACCATAAGGAAGTCACCTCCCCACTCTGCACCTTATTTGCTTCATCTGTAAAATGGAGATGAGAATCCTGCCCTTTCAGAGAACTGCCCAGAGAAGTGAAGCGAGGCAAGCAGCGAACAGATGAGAGCATGTGGCAACAGGGCTTTGTAAACAGGAAATGTAGTATAAATAAAAACAGACAGTATTACTGTGAAGCTTGCAGTGAAAACCACTGCAGACAGCTCAGAGTAGGGACCTTCCGGCCATTTCAAAGGGTGCTTCGTTATTAAATTCCAGCCCCTTCCTGGTTGTTTCTCCCCTCAACCCGGGGCCCCCCCCCCCCCCCCCAGCCCAGGGCAATCAGAGAGTACAAGGCTGGGAACAAGAAAAGCTTATAAAAAGGGACAGGGAGGGTGATCCTACCCAAGGTGGAGAGCTGGCCATTCCTGCCTCATCAAGGATTCTTTATAACAGAGGGGCACCTGGGTAGCTCAGCTGGCTAAGCGTCCGACTCTTGATTTCAGCTCAGGTCATTATCTCACAGTTCAGGGGTTGAGCCCCACATCGGGCTCTGGCTGACAGCACAGAGCCTACCTGGGATTCTGTCTTTCTCCCTCTTTCTCTGCCCCTCGCCTGCTTGTGCTTTCTCTCTCTCTCAAAATAAATAAACCTTTAAAAAAAGGATTCCTTATAACATAGATACACAGATATAGATATATACAAAAAGCTGTAGCTGTTTAATGTATGCAACTTGATGTGTTTGGAGATAAGTGTATACCCGTGAAACAATCAACACTGTAAGGGCCATAAACTTACCCATTGCCTCCAAAAGCTTCCTCCGGTTCCTTTTGTTTTTTCCCTCTTATGGTAAGAACACATAACATAAAAAAAAAAAAAAAAAAGAACACATGACATAAGATCTACCCTCTTAGCCAATAGTTAAGTATATAATACAATATTGTTTAGCATAGGCCTTGTGCTGTACAATAGCTCTCCAGAACTTACTTACTTTGCATAACTGAAACTCTGCACCCTTTGACCAACATCTCCCCACTTCTCCTTCCCTCCTAGCCCCTGACAACCACCTTTTTACTCTCTGCTTCTGTGAGTTTGAGTGTGTCAGTTTCACATATAAGTGAGATCATGCAGTATTTGACTTTCTGTGTCTGGCTTATTTCACTTAGCATAATGCCTTCCATGTCCATTCATGTTGCTGCAAATGACAGGATTTCCTTCTTTTTAGGGCCAAATAATATTCCATTATATATATATACATATATATATATATATATATATATATATATATATATATATATACACACACACACAGACACACACACAGACATAACACATTTTCTTTATCATCAAGGATTCTTGGCATTAAGAGCTGTTTAATGGGTACTGTCCTTGCCAGATTCTATGCTAAACCTCCTCCAGGCATCAATATGCTAAATCCTCACAGTACCCTCTGAGGTTGGAGCCATTACCTATCCATTTTTCTGATAAAGAAACTGAGGCTCAGAGGAATCAAACTGCCCAGAGTCATAGGGCTCTTAGGAGGCAGAATTGGGCCTAAATCAGCTCTTCTTTTAACTTCAACTTACTCTCACCCTCACAATTATACAAAACGCCCTAAGGTGTACCTGGCATTTAGGCGCTAAAGATATCTAAGATGTCTAAAGCCTCCTGTTTGAATCCCAGCTCTGACATTGCCCAGCTGTGGGACCTTGGACAAGTTACTTACCTTCTCAGAGGACCATCCTGATCATCTATCAACTCCACTACCACCCAAGCGGGAGTTGGGGATTGTTACCTAAACTCAGTTCCCTCAGTTCCCTCCGCTGTAAAATGGGGATAATAACAGACCATATCCAGTGTATAAAGCACATAGCCCAGCATTGGGCAGCTATCATTTCAAACATCATTATTTTACAATATTATACCTACACCCCATCCAGGGTAAGGAAGAAAAGCAGAGATAGAACCAGAGATTAGAAGAATAAATTAAAATTTTTTCACATTCAGCCCCTTTCAGAACTTAGGATCAAGAAAATAATTATCTCAACTAAAGATGTGTTGTTTTCCTTTGATTAGAAAACAAGAAATTGTGTGTAGCACTGTGTTTCCCTTTTTGCTTTGGCCGCCAGAAGGCTCAAAGAGAAATTTAATTTTTAAATCTTATTAAGAGTAACTGAATGATGGGGCACCTGGGTGGTGCAGTCGGTTAAGCGTCCGACTTCAGCCAGGTCACGATCTCGCGGTCCGGGAGTTCGAGCCCCGCGTCGGGCTCTGGGCTGATGGCTCAGAGCCTGGAGCCTGTTTCCGATTCTGTGTCTCCCTCTCTCTCTGCCCCTCCCCCGTTCATGCTCCATCTCTCTCTGTCCCAAAAATAAATAAACGTTGAAAAAAAAATTTTTTTTAAAAAGAGTAACTGAATGAACCTGGGCCATCTTCCTTTCTGTCATGCGCACTTAAAATTTTCTGTTCTGTTGACTTTATTGTTCCTGTAACATTCAGAATTAATGTAAAACAATTGTTAATGCAACTGCTTGAACAATGGGTGAGATAAAAATGAACAAGACATATTATGTAGTTATAGTTTAAAACAGTGCATTTGAAATCAAAGCACTACCCATTACTTGAATTTTAGACAAAGATAAAAGACACTGAGAAATCAGAGATGAATTTCAAAGTGGAATTAGTTCAGAAGAAGCATTTAGGGAGAAAAATTGTAAATCACCCCAGACCTCGTCAGTCCTGTTTGCAGGCAGAGGAAGGTCAGCTTTGGTCCCTCTGGGCTCCACCCTGGCTGGCACTTAGCTATTTGAGTCCCAGCTCTCAGAGGAGCAGAGGCCTGCCCCTATGTTCCCATGCCTCAAGGGACTTCCTGTTTATCTTTCCGGATCTTGTGTCCATTCGCACAAGATGTGAATCAGCAGCAGAGGCCAGGATGACAGGAGCTATTTCTGTAAGTCAGTTCGATGTTAACCATGCTGGAGTGAAGAAAATTTACATTTATTTTTTTTTTTAATTTTTTTTTCAACGTTTATTTATTTTTGGGACAGAGAGAGACAGAGCATGAACGGGGGAGGGGCAGAGAGAGAGAGGGAGACACAGAATCGGAAACAGGCTCCAGGCTCTGAGCCATCAGCCCAGAGCCCGATGCGGGGCTCGAACTCCCGGACCGCGAGATCGTGACCTGGCTGAAGTCGGACGCTTAACCGACTGCGCCACCCAGGCGCCCCGAAAGTTTACATTTAAATGAAACTTCGATCAAGTTCCCATTGTCTGGAATCTCCAGAAAGAGAAACTGTGGGTTTCTGTGAGAGAGTGTGTATGTGTTTACATCCAAATACAATATTCTCTGTAAAGAGGCTGTGACAGGTGTCCTCATCTGGAGTTGGTGTAATAGCCAAAGATTGGAAACAATATAATTGATGGGAACTGGCAAAATATGATGGAAAAGGATGCAGGCGTTACTAAAGAATGACGACACAATTAACTATGAAAAATATTCGGCGGTATCTAGTTACTCTCAACATACACCTGACCCGGGATTCTCATCCTCTGCTACCCTCAGGATAAAATCGAAAGTTCTTAGCCTGGTCCACACCAGGCTTCCTCAACATCAGCACTACTGACAATTGGGGCCAGATAGTCTCTGACGGTGGGGGAGGGGGCTGTCTTGTGAGTTGTAGGATGCAGAGGGCATGTCTGGACCCCACCCACCAGATGCCGACGGGACTCCCCTCTGCAAGGTGTGAGGAGAGGGTCTCTAGTCATTGCTGAGTGCTGCTACCTGCAACAACATGACTGTATTTCACAAACATAATGTTTGGCTAAAAAAGCTAAACAAATACACGAAAAGAGTACATATTATTTATAAACCCATTTGGTTTGGGAGAGGACATCTAGGATGAGAGGAACGTTCTGTTTCTGGATTTAAGTAGTGATTACTTAGGTGTTTTTCACTTTGAAAGTCACTGTGCTGTGTGTGCACTTTCCTGTAATTACAATGCAACTCAATAAAATGTTTATTTTATTTATTTATTCAAGAATATTTATTTATTTTGGGGAAAGCACAAGTGGGGAAGGGGCAGACAAAGGGGGACAGGCTGACAGCAGCAAGCTCCCGATGTGGGGCTTGAACTCACGAACCACAAGATCGAGACCTGAGCCAAAGTCTGCCGCTCAACTGACTGAGCTGCCCCAATAAAAAAAAATGTTTTTCATGAGGCATATCTAGATGGGTTGATATGGAAAGATCTCTAACATACATGGCAAGTGGAAACAAAGCAAGATGAAGAATGAACATGTCGTGATTCTGTTTGTAAAGGATCCCCCAACAACACGGGGAGAGCCCACACGCTCCCCGTGGAAGTGTCGACTGTGAATCACTGCAGAGCAGTGGCCCTCATTAATCACACTGGAGTTACCCACACCCCATAACATCTGGACGCCGAGGGCATGTTCCAGAGAGGCTCCTGCCCACTGCCCAGAGAGACACTGACAGGAATACTCACCACAGGGATTCTGAGATAGTAAACAGAAGCTCAGAGGGGTTAAGTGACTTGCTGAAGATCACACAGCCTGTGAATCAGAAAGCCAGGATCTTGGGGCGCCTGGGTAGCTCAGTCAGTTGAGAGTCCGACTTCAGCTCAGGTCATGATCTCACGTCTCATGAGTGCGAGCCCCACATCTGGCTCTGTGCTGACAGCTCAGAGCCTGGAGCCTGCTTCAGACTCTGTGTCTCCTTCTCTCTCTGCCCCTCCCAGGCTTGTGCTCTGTCTCTCAAAAAATAAACATTAAAAAAAATTTTTTTGGGGGCGCCTGGGTGGCGCAGTCGGTTAAGCGTCCGACTTCAGCCAGGTCACGATCTCGCGGTCCGTGAGTTCGA